ATTTTCATCTGTCCCCTACAGTTGAGTTCGCTTATCAATTTTAACAATTTAATCCTTCATATTTCTGAAACCGTGCTTCTACGCTCAACTTCAAATTTTTTTCATATTAATATATCATTGTCAGCTATTATTTAGATCACAATTTGATTCGATCCGTTAAATCCATCAAACAAAACTTGCGGTTGCTCTTTTAACATACATTTTATCAAGACACAAATTTTCCAATTGTATACAGCAAAATTGTTTTTCAAAATTTTTAACTCCAAATGTGTGTTTCCAGGTTTTCCGGCAAATTGAGCTTCCGGAGGAGCTGAAACGCCTTGAATGTTTACGAGTGAAATTACGTGTGCAACGGTATCATTTTGTGGAGGCAGTTTCTAACAACACTGATGTGTTCAATCTGCATACCTTGGTGAGAGATTTACAACATCAGGACGAAAGTATTCAATTCATCACTATTCATAACACTCGTCGTATTTCAGGTAAGCGTGAAATTGCGTGATTATGAAGAAGTAATTCAGGAAGCAGCAGAAGCGGGTCTCCTGATCAGCTTTGTAACAGATATTATTGATCATGATGGTCGCTCGGAATTGCCACCCATTGTGACGGAGAGGTGGAGCATTCTCCAGGCAGTTTTTTTCGCCAGCACCGTCCTTACGACAATCGGTATCTAGTCTTAATTACAGTTCGACATCAGATGCGGATTACCCTAACAGCACCAAGTCGACTGTTATTTGACAGAAGAAGTCTAAAGTCGATTTCAAAGTCAAACATAAATATCAACTTTCACTTCGTTAATACTCAACAAATGACTCAACTATAGTTGACTGTTAGTCAGCCAATAAGTCGACTTCCAATTAGAAGTCTAACAATAAAGTCGACTTTTTTGTAATACTCAGAGAGCTGGTGAACTTTTTGTTAAGCGTGTTTTATAAACGCAGAAATTTTGTAGAAAGTTATTTTTTCCCTACCTGAATAAAAAATCAATCACATGTCTAGCCAGCGTCGACCAGAAGCGCACCCCCTCATTTTTTGAAGTTGTAAAAATGTTGAAACCAACGTTAAGTATGAAAGTTGAAATTTTAATATATAAAATTTTATATCTTTTTGAGTAATAAAAATGGCAGATGTCCTGGTTAGTGTGAACCTAAAGGCAGGCAATTGTAAAGTTGTATTATTAATGGTGGTATTTACTTTTCATTTCATAAAGGTATTTTATAACAACAGAAACATGTTGCAAGTTTTACAACATATTTCCAGTGCTATGAGAGTAATGTATGTTGAAAGCTAGACCAATTTAATAAACAAAACAGCGTGAAAGGTAGTAAGTAATGTTTTCTGTGAGTGCGACGGAAAGAAGATTATGTGGATGCACGCGCACGAGAAAGAGAGGGCGTATACAGAACATGCATAATGGTAATATATGATATAAAAAGAGTATACGTGTACTTAAATGATATATACACGAGGCTTGAATAAGTTCTCGCTGTTTTTTTCGTGAAAATAAATATACTTTATTTAAAACAATTAGTAAAAAATATGTCATTCAAAATATTGTCCATCGTTAGTCACTACTATTTCCCATCTTTCTGGCAGCATATGAATTCCACGTCGGAAAAATGACACGTCTTATGAGGCTATCCAAGAATCGACTCATTTTTTGGCATCATCATAAGAATGGAAGTCAGCCAGGCCATGAGTTATCGATCGGAACAAGTGGTAATCGGAAGGAGCAATGTCTGTGAATACGACAGGTGGTGTAGGACTTCCCGTTTGAGCGTTTCCTAATAGGTTTTGACCGGTTTTGCAACATGTGGCCGAGCGTTGTCATGCTGCAAAATCACTTTGTCGTGTCTCTCCTCGTATTGCGGCCGTTTTTCCTTCAATACCGGGCTCAAACGCTTCAATTGTAGTCGGTAGCGATCTCCCGTAATAGTTTCGTTGGGTTTGAGCAGCTCATAATACACTACACCTAGCTGATCCCACCAAATACAGAGCATGAGCTTGGAACCATGGATATTCGGCTTTGCCGTCGATGTTGATGCATGGCCGGGCTTATCCCACGATTTTTTACGCTTGGGGTTATTGCCCAGATAG